CAGGCCAATCCGTCCCTATATACATATAGGCTACATAGATAGTCTAATGGAATCAAATTCCGGTGCCTCAGGGCTGCGCAAGGGTCCTGCACTGCCACTCTTGGCACACACTCGATAAATGCTTGCCCTTTCAGACGCACCGCAAGAATTGATATCTATCCCAAACTTAACTGCTTATCTTTATTGCCTGCAATCCACTTCAATGGCTATGTCTTGACATACTTATGGCTAGTCACAGGCGAGCTCCACCGGCTCCATGATGTTGCGGACTGCGTTGACATCTCTACTGCGCCCTCTAATCCATAACGGCACACTATGCGCACGATAGAAAGGCCTTCTCACGAAAGATCTGAACACGTGGTCAATGACATTATGAGATCTACCCATTCAGAGAAGGCATGCGAGGGAAAGTCGACGAACCGCCCATTGAAGGCGCGACATATTTCAGCACAAGAGATCATAGGAGAAAGGGGTCATTGCCCCATTCCTCAGTGCTGCACCATCCGGGAGAAATCAATGTCTACGTTCCGGCGACGCCCGCGGATTCGAGGGAAATAGAATCTTGGCGACCTTTTTTACAGATCTGAAATCAGACCTTTAACCCAAATTGGTGGAGCTTCCCATTCAATGGTCATATATGGACATACATTTTAAAATGCAGAGGAGCGGCATAGACACAGGCAAGCAGAACAAGAAATGGAAGGGCCTTGGAAGCCAATAACATTTACTAGCAACCAGACTTTATCACCTCCCCACATCGTGCACATTCCTCGCGGCTGTCCATTATGCAGCAGAGTATGCCGATGGGAAAACAAAATATAGCCATGAGAACACCGGCGATCCCATGCCGACTGACTATGAGGTGACCTTGCTGAAGGCATATGCTGCGAGGATCATTCGGCGCCATGCTCTGGTACGTGGTCTGTATATTTGGGGGCTGCACGTGTTTATCAGCGTATTTCTGCCCAGGTTATGATGGACAACGGACATGAGATCCAGGCTGCACTACGCCCTGCACGTATGGTGGTGGAGCTGAAGCTGGCGCCTGAGATGCGACGGCGTCGGATTTGGTGGTCGCCGCTGGAGGCGACGCAGCTGGAGTGACGATTGTCGGCTCCGTTGACATGTTGTAGCGGACCGAATTGTTAAGGATGGACAATCGAATCAAGTCTCGATTGCGAGGGTAGGAAATTGGGATTCGATGTCGTCGCCATGTTGATTGATGAGGGTTCGTTCCTTTTAACAACTAGCCAATGGGCAACGGCAATGTAGTGTGTTGAGGACAAGAAAAAGAAAAGTACAAAATCGACAAGCACAATGCAGAGTCTGATGACCAGCCTCCCTGTCTCGATCACCCAGCCGGCTGATCGCTGTCTCAACTCTCCTCGTAGTGTGCCCGTGTCTGGCCCCATCTAGCCCCATCTAGCCTGCTGCGATTTAGCCTTGCACCATCTAGACTCGCTCACACCATGCGATTTCGAGACAGGGTACCGGGGAACCTTCGCAGTCCGAGCTCAGCCCACAAAGTATCACAGTACCTCGTATGTTATGAGGAAGCCAACTTATTAGCGCTCTATACCGCTGTAAGAGAAGAGAGAAGCCGCTGAAACGTGGGAGCGGTCACTTTTGATATTGTGAAATCTATCCATCCAGAGAGGCTGTCGCACAACAACTTAAGTTGACGACCATACAAATGAAAGATAGGAAACGTTCCAGCTCGATAAATAACCAAAATAGATGAGAAAGTCGATGAAGTACACATGGCCTGTTCAGCCACAGCACCCGCCTAGGAACACCTCTCCGCAACGCTTGCACGATTCGTGGCGGTCCATCAAGCAGCAAGTGACAGTGCCGATGGGGAAGAGAAATATGCCCGAAAGGATACCGCAAATGCCGACCCTCCGGGTTTTAATGTGACCTTCTCGTGCGCAAATGAGGCGCGGATCGTTGGGATCCATCTCAACCGGCGGGGCGGTCTCCTTCACAGCACAGTCAGCAATGAACTTTGTAGATCAACGAGAAGCTAACCTTTTTCTCTGCTGGTGCCAGCGACGAGAGAGGGTAGGCACTGGTCCCCGCGCCTGCAGCTGGCTTGGTCTCGGCGGAAGCCATTCTTCAGGTGGACAAGCTTTGTTAGTGGTCGAGCAAATTCGACGCCGGTTGTGAGTACACGTGCGGCTGCTCCTCTCGGCGGAAGGGAGACTGTTGTCGACGATGGGCACCAGCAAGTCTGGGTTTTTGTACACCGCCAGCCAGTTAGCATGCTGTGTCCTAGACGCAGCGCGGGCGCAGTATCAATCAGGAAGTGAGGCGTGGCGTCCCGAACTGCTCGCAGCGACATATGAATGCGGGTAAGCGATATTGAACTCCTTGTGCGAACGTTGCTTCGAAGGACATGTTAAAAGCACAGGTCATTGCAGAGTTGTACCAGTCTATCGTCTTCATCTTGAGCTGGCCAGAAGAGAGGGCCAGGTTGTATGGCTCTGCAATCTAGGGACCTAAACAGGTGAGATTAGGCATGCATCGGGAAGAGAAGGAAACCTCGAAGACTCTCATGTAGAGGGTTCCAGACGAATCACATATTGCAACATCCGACTCGTGCAGTTGTCAAGCATGGGCAGCTCATGGACCAACATGTGATTGTCGGGTGCCCTGGCGACGTGGCATACATCGAGAAGCGACAGCAAAGAAAGGGCTCGGGACAACCGATGATGCGGTAGTCGGATCCGCTTGAATTTCGGATATTTATTGGCACCCCATCGACTTCTCTAAAGCCTTCCCACGACGAATGGAGTATGCTCGCAGCCTCTGGTATGCGTCTTTGAATATGATGATTTGGGTGACTGTTGGTAGAAGGAATTTAGAGTTGATTGTCTGGGGGTGCGCTGGCACCCATGGAATTAATGTTGTCCAGTTACATATCGAGGGAACATGTCCAGGCCTTGATATTCTCCGGTTCATCACATGGGCGTTGTTCGTGCCCTGTTCAGAAGTACCTTGTGAGGGTGGCGCATGAAGGGATGCACGTTCTTCTGAAGAGCCTAGCACCTTCGAAAAGTCGAGGTGCTGGAGGGGGGACCAGGGAACGAGTGCACAGTCGCCTGTAGGAGGAACCTTATCGCAATGCACGCATAATTTCTTGTGTTCCATCAGGCAAAAGGATCGCAACGCTGGCTGACGAAGAGTAAAAACTGATTCGATACACCCTTCTGGAATTGGAACTACAAAGAGATCAAGTTACATCGCAGGAGGGAAAGAGTACACAACAAGTTCGATCAATAAGAGATACAACCTATGAAATGTCAAGATGTTAGCGATGTAGCTTTTTAGAAATACACTTCTAGAAACACAGCGAGTCTGAGGATGACCAATATCCGCGTCATGAATACACCGATATCAAATCACATGTCGGCATTTCGCAGGCGTGGTGGGACGTATTCCAGCCCCAAGAGCTCGAAGATTTCCTTCTCCGAATTGACGTATATCGGCACGGTGTCGCGTACCCTTGTCAAGCCTGAGCTGTCAAACTTGACGCCCCTAAACACAAAGCATAAGTTCTTATATACCGCGAAATAAAGGGGTTCACATACGTCTCCGCCTTTGCCCAAAGCCGCAGGTCCCGCTCGAACTGTTTGCTACCGGACCAGCCGACAACAGCGCACCAGTAAACGTCCCAAGGGGCACAGATCAGGTCGAGCCGCCTATGCAGGCCTGCTCCCCCCTCCTGGATGGAGGGCCGGCAAACGACTAGTGCTTTGGAGAGGGTGTCAAAATGCGAGGAGGGGTGACCAGGCTGGAGCTTGCTTCGTGTGTGGGAGGAGTGAGAGAAGGGATTGTGTCCCGGGTGCATGACTCCAAAAATGTGCGTTATGAATCCTAACAAAAAACCTGAGCGATGGCAGCAGATAAAATGGTCGTACGCTTACCTTCGTTAGAGAGATAGTTGACAACGTTTTCGATCAGACCTTGTTCCTTGCCTTGTTCGGGATGAGTGAAGATAACGTCCACGTCTCCACTGGTCGGTTTTCCACGCCGATACCCGCCGCAGATCGTCTGCTTGCAACCGGGCATGACTGCGTCCAGCGCTTTCTGAACTTTCCGCCCGATGAACTCGACTTCATCACGCGGTATCCTGCTCGATTTCAATTCGCACATCTGTGGAATGAGAATCGGTCGTGCTCACCGTATCATAAGATCGTCGTGTACTTCCAGCGCCATCTGGAGAACCTCGCCCCCGTTGCCCATGTCGACCCACTCCCTGAGCTCCTCGATGTTTGTAATTCCTTTGGCATACAAAGCACGCGCAGTAGTACTTCCCACAGAATGCACCCTCGTGAGCTCCTCGAGCGCGCGATACCTATCCGTTCCGACGATGGTGGCTGCTTCGGAAATATAGCCCGTCTCGAGAAACTGGTCGACGAGGTGGCATATTTTCGGTCCTACGCTGGGTAGATGTCTGATCTGGTCGGTCGACGTGATGGGCTTGGGATAAGCTTTGAGGACTGAGATCCCGCGTGCGTAGCTGAGTGCGCTACGGTCTTCCCCCTCAAGCTCCCGACTGCGCATGATGATTGCGATCGTGCGGAGTAGTTTCTCGTTAGGTGTATAGAGGGGTGTGCGGCGCTTGCAGGCATAGCGAGAATCGGGGATCGGCCAGCCAGGAGTGAAATCGAGGGGGATGTCGTTGTCTGAAACTGACGAGCTGCTTCCTTGCTTGGGAGAGATACCAGCCTGTATCTTGCGGTTCTCAAATGTCCTTCGTAGATCAGTCGCGCTCGCGAGGAGATGATCGGGCGAGTTAGGCGCCGTGCTCGAAGTTGAGGTCAACGCCGGCGTAGGCTGCCTGCTCGTTGGAGAGCGGGGTCGAAGGTCCGGCACAGCGAGATACTCCTGCCAAGGTTCGACTTTACCCGCAGCGGCGGAGTCCTCAAGCCATTGCGTCTTCAGCACCCAGCGCCGCTCGCCTTCCTTCCGGTCCATATGCCTCTCTAGCCTCTTACGCGCTCCAACAGCAGTGAGCACCACGTCCGCCGCAGTAGGAGACGACACTAAGCGTGCACCATGTGACTCAGCGAGACAGCAGAGGTGAGCGAGGTGCGTATCGGACAGCTTTGCAGGGATGAGGTTGATGCTGAGCCCGGCGAGGAACTGCGGCATCGCTGCTGCTGTCCGCGCTTTCTTCGCAGGCGGGGCATGCTGTTCAGAGGTTGACGGCCCCTCGTTCAGCGACGGGCGCTTAGGCATCTGTGGAAGGAACAGCTAGCTCGACGTCCAGGAGTGCATGGAGGGAAGAGGATGGGACGGTGGCAACATCGAGAGCGGGTTGTCTGCCTGCGATGGAGGTCGACCAGATGGCTTGACATCACGCGGTCACAACGTCAAAATTCCAGTCGACGTCGACCGCGTACTTTCTCTTACGATGTCTTCTACTCAGCGTCCTGCCATTAAATATGTGATATTCGACATGGATGGCCTGCTCATCGACACCGAGTCGGTCTATACACTGGTCACGAACCGTATTCTCGAGCCATACGGCGTCGAGATGACATGGGATATCAAAGCAGGGCTCATGGGAATGCGTGCGTTCATACCTTCTCTCCTTCCATAACGCAGCTTCAGCTCAGATCATTTACACAGCCGAACGTGAAGCGTCTGAACATCTGATATCACATTTCCCAGGCATCGACCTCACGGTAGACGACTATATCCGCCAGCGACGAGAACTGCAGGACACACTCTGGCCCACAGCTTCCGTCCTCTCAGGCGTGCACGCACTCGTCTCCCACCTGCACGCTAGCGGGATCCCAATGGCTGTTGCGACCGGCTCTCAAAGACGCAACTTCCTCCTCAAGACGGCGCATCTTGCTGGGTTATTTGACCTGTTTGGAGGCAGGGTGATATGCGGGGACGACGAGCGCTTAAAGCCGGGACGGGGAAAGCCAGCGCCGGACGTGTTCCTGATCGCTGCGAGAGAGCTGGGGTTTGATGTTGGCGAGAGCGAGGGATGCGATGTACCTGGAGAGCACAAGCAGTTGAGGACACAGGGACTAGTGTTCGAGGATGCCAAGTCTGGCGTTATTGCCGGCAAGCGGGCTTGCATGAATGGTATGCTCTCTGCGGTGTTCTCATGGTATACGATTGCTCATCAGCTCTGTGCAGTTGTCTGGGTACCAGATCCACGCTTGCGTGCACTCGACCCCGACAATACATATGGAGCAGATGAGATATTACCAGACTTGACGTCGTTCAAGCCGGAAGAGTGGGGGCTGCCAGCATTCCCTTCATGACAGCACGGATGGCGGTGACGGACTGGGACTGAGAATAATAACTGTTGTAATGATACCAACACATTGGTGAATGATTAGAATACAACTGCCAGAGAATAACTTATTTCACGGCGAAACCGAGGCACTGGACGAATTAGAAATACTGTCCCGCACGTACGTAGTCCGCTTGCTCTTCCACCGTGCTCTCTCCCATGCGCGAAGTCGGTCCGAAAGCAGCTTTGGGCAAAGAGAATAACTGAAGCTTGAGCACTGCGACCCCGTCGGGAATCATCGCTCTCACTTGTGCCTTGCTGGGGACATCTTGAAAGGTGATCTGCCGCACAGTCAGCGAAAGTCCGAATGAAGTCGATGATGCACTTGCCGAGTCGTTCGCAACCTTGTATCGACCGAACCACTGAGTCACCGAATCGATTTCCTCCGCGATGGCCTCCTTCTGCTGGCTCTTACTCTCCAACGCGCTCGTGCCTTTCACATCCTTCAGCTCGGCAAGGTCTTCCTTCGCCGCCGTAAGGAACGCCATCGCCACGCCGTTTCGCCCCCGTTCACCCGCATCGATCCCAAACCACTTGAATGCCATAGCGAGTGCATGTGCGGCCCCATGTTCCAAGTACTTCCTCAGATCCGCGTCTACCTCATCTCGCACACCCAAAGCCGTAGACTTGTTCACCAACGATCGTGCAGTGGCATATTCGGTGTGGACATGGATCCAGAGCTTGCCTAGCAGGCTAGGGGCAGGGTGCGACTTCGGTAGTGGTGCGCCGGGGACGGCGATCGATTCGGCCACAGAGCGGGACATGAGCTTGCGTATTGCTAGCCCGTTGGCGTCTGCCATAGCTACCCTGAAGACTGATTATCAGCCTTAGCACCCGGGGCGGTAATAGACGTTCACTTTGGCAGTGTGGCCAGAACTTCGGGACTGAGATCTGGCGGCCGGTCCTTGCCTTTCGAGCTAGCAGAATTGACCTTAGCCCACTGGGGAAGAATCGCATCCGGGATAGACTTGAAGATCCCTGCAGCTTTGCACAGCGTACGAGCGGCAAAGTTCAGCTGCTCGTCCTTCTCCTTGCGTTCTGCTTCGGAGAGGTAGCCTTCTTGCTCGTAGTTGCCCAGAGAAGCGACTGTGGCGTGGGCAAGGTCGCACAGTCCGTAGGCATAGGTAAGAAGGCAAAAGCAGAGCTCGTAGTAGAAGCCTGTGCCTTCCACTCGAGGAGAGTTCTTGAGCAGATGTGAAGAGAGGGTTGACCGCCAGCTGAACTCTGGTCCGCGTCAGCTTGGGACATGGGATAAGGGGAGAGCGACTCACTGGGCTCGGAATATGGCATAAGTTCTTCAGCAAATACGCAGTCCATGATACCGCCCAAATGAGGCAGATAGTCTTCGACGACCTTGTCAGCTCTTCATCAGCAACAAGCTCCCGGACGACAACAACACAGTACTTTGATCACACGCAGATAATCCTTCTCGGCGCCCATACGCTTCGTCTCCTTCAAGATACCGCGCACCTGGGCTCTGGAAGAAGACGTGTTGCTGACGTCCTCTGTGTGGGTTCCTGTCCGGTCGTCGAGGAGGTCTCCGAAGGTCACTGCTCCTGTCGTTGGGAGCTCGTAGTAGTATACAGACATGACCAAGTGTAGGAGATAGCAAGCAAGAGAGATGAGAAAGGTGAGAAGATGAGAGTATTGCGTTGTTGTACAATTGCTAGGAGGGAATGACACACGTCGGGAAAAGGAATGTAAACATATTCATTGCAAGCCTCATTACCACATATCCTCAGGGTTTTGGAAGCTTTCTGACACAGGGAAGCCAAAAAGTGCTTAATTTCATTGCCCAAGAACCACACCTGGGAGCCTGATTAATACAATGAGGCAGGCTATATGAGGCATGATAAAAAGCCCCAGAAATTATTAATTGAGAGCACTCTTAAAAAGATATTTATCATGGGATTCAGTGCTTTAGAATTGTTGATATTTTAATTAATCCATTTCAATACAATAATACTAGAACACTCTCATTGGCATCATCATTATCATGCTCATTGTTGCCCACATCATCCCCACCATTCCTGAATCAAAGAGCCATGTTTATGGTCCTGGTGCTATGTCAGCAAGTCCTTTCCAAATGAAATGCATCATATACAAGCACATATCTCTTGCTTGCCAGATGCCAGTGCAGGGGGGAGTATTGGTGTGGGAGGGGGAGGAGGGGGAGGGGTGCAGATGGAGTGATGGAAGTGGTGGTGGGAGTGGTGGTGGTGGTAGTAGGAGAAGGAGGATCCAGACTTGGTGGTGAAGGAGTGAGGTAGACTTAGACAGGTTTGGCATGATGCCCTACTGTTATGGGACTCTTGGTGGTAGTGGAGAAGAGTCCATAAGGATGGATTCAGATGTGCTTTATTTCATCCCATGGACAGAATCTGCACTTGAAGTGCTGAGTTCTTACTTTTAAGTACTTTCTGGGTTGAAACCAGGACTCTTCTCCACATCCAGTGCAGCATTCAGACATCAGAAAGCTGCTCAAAAACCATTTCCTACTTAGCCAGGTGAACATTTGTTCCAGAAGATCACAGCTTAATGCCCCACCAAGAAATCTTGGGGTGATGTTGCAACCATCATTGACCACATTGGAATGAAGGTGAACATATGGGTATGGGTCATTGCCATACAAAGTGGACCAGATTCACTGATACAGACTCATTGAGCACCCAATGTCATGGCAACAGAGTACAAAAACCCAGGAGGGCATGTCATCACTTCCCCAGAGGTGGACAGCTTGCACTGGGGCTCAGCAGCAATCCCTTGGGTTGCTCTGGATTAGATTCAAGTACTACTTAGCATGGTTCCATAGTTGATTATATGCACTGTGATTGTCAGAAATGTTGGAACTGTGCAAGCCTCCCTGAGGTATATGAGTTTCACAAACCCAATGCAATATTGCTGTGCTTCCCTAAACCAGGGAGCTTCATTGAAGTATGACCCATGTCAGAAAGCCCCCCAGACTGGTCACTTCTGAGCCTAGTAACTGGGCTGTGTGAGGGCAACACAATCCAATGTATATTGTTAATCGAATAACTGAATAGACAACAAGAAAATTGTAGATAATTAAGTCATGTGATAATCAATATTTGTATATCTGATACAGACACTTGTGGGTCAGCAGTAACATCTGTGTTAATAGTGGGTTGGTTGTCATCAGGATGATGGTATATACAATTAAACAACAGAAAATTTGAAAATACAAGGAGTTAAGCATGATGACTTGGACTATGGGGTTCCTAAGAGATTAGCTCTAAAGACAACAATGGCTATATCTAGGTCTCTATATATATCTAGGTATGTGTCAGGGCACCAGCTCATTGCTTGGTCAAGAGACATGACTAAGCCTTTATGACATGGAAGTAGCTGGTATACCTTGGCATGTGCTGGAACCTGCTGGAAGGATTGGATGGTCAGGTGACCTGCTGTGCATGGCTGTGCATGACCTCATATGACCTGATCACCTGACTAGGCTGAGTAAGCAAGATGTTCTAGCAGGTTCCACCACAGAGGTATAAATATAAGGCCTACTCTGCCTGGGACTGTCTCTTCAGACTTGGTCTCTTAGGATCATCCACAGGTACCTATACTGTAGATAGGTCTTAGTCATCAGGTCTACTCCACTTCCTTGTTGCCTGCTTAGACTCTTGGCACTCTTAGGTGAGCAGACTTAGTCAGCCTGTGTTGCCCTAACAGT